TTCCAAGGACACCATGTGTTGGGTGAGATAACACACAAAGTGACTGTGGGCTGCTGCAGTTTCAACCTTTGTGCTAATATTAATGGACACGACCCCGCTGGGCTTAACCCCGAGACCACCCTAATCTCATTCACACAAGAGGAGATTAACAATGCACTGGTTGGTGTAGACATTGACAAAAATCAATGACTTTGGAAAACAACTGCAATGTGACACAGTGTTATTGGCCCCCTTCAAACATTAATGGTTGGTAGTAGTGTCGGTGGTAAAGGAATTTAAACTCATTCTAAAGCTCAAGCTGTTGCATTTGCTGTAAACTGCTGTGAATGGGCCTTTAGTAAAAGAGTAATGTGCTTGTAAACCGAAATCTTATCAAATATTTAGTTTGAGGGTGAAATTGACCAAAGATCAGACATCTTGTGCTGAAGCAAAACCCTGTGTACTCTGTTATGTATTCCGAGGGAATTTTACACTACAGCAATGATGCTGTTTTTTCTCTCCTGATACTGATTCAACACGTTAACTCAGAGTATCTGTAGAGTACAGGACATGGTTGTTTTTTCCCCTCACAAACCAAAGCTGACCTGTTGAAATTAATGTTACAGAACTCCTCCAAAGTGGGCTGATGCATGCATACCTACCATGAGTCTGACTTAAGTGCAGGTGGTCATTTCCTGGTTGGCAACACCCACCAAACAGGTGACAGACACCATCAAAACATCAAGGCAAAAGTCTCTTTAAGTGAATACTTGATAAATGTCGATACAATGAATGCAATTAAACTATATTTCTTACTGAAGAGAGAAACACAATGGAGCTCTAAAAGCTCTAAAGAGCTGGCTCAAATAAAGAAAGCATAACCTCCACAAACCAACACGGTAGCTCCTATTGCTCAGCATCCTTCACAAATAATGGCTTATTTACATAGGTTGGCACATGGGGGAGATTTCAAACAAGAGCCACTGTCAATCAATAATCCAATGACACAAGCTAAAAGGTCAAAAAAGTAAATGAATCTTAAAAAGTGCATTAATTCAGTAAACCACACATTGCCACGCTTCTTTTGTTTATATATATTCAAGATGCCCAAAGAACATCAAAACGTGGATGGTGTGCAGATTACTTTTGACTGGCTTTTGGTGTGTGCTACAAACAAAAACAGACAAGGGGGGAAAAAAAAATTCTCAATCTGAAAATTGTATTCTTTTCCTTTTCAAAAATTGTATTACATTGAATCTTTTTTCAAATATAACAAAAGTTTTAACTGAAAATGTGCCAAGCAGCAGCAATGCACCTCATCTCTCTTACCTGCCTCTAGCCAATGGACCCAATTCAATTCAATTCAATTCAATTCAATTTTATTTGTATAGCGCCAATTCATAACAGAAGTTATCTCAGGACACTTTTCAAATAGAGCAGGTCTAGACCGAACTCTTTAACATTCTCAATTCTCAATTCTTCCTTGTAAATATTTAATAGCCTCTGGGAAAATACTTCTCTAGTACAGATACATTTAGAAGAGTTGTTAAAGATTACTTTTGTATCTCGCTATCATTTGTAAAGTCTCATAAAATGGTGATGCCAAGGGCTATGAAGGAGGATGACGCAGTAACAGACATTAGCACAGAGCTACAAACAGCAGGCACAAGTAATTCGTATTTGCATTGTGTGAGTTACGGTGTGAGTGTTGTGTCTGTCGCCCTGTCATCACCAGGCCTGTGGTTGTCAAGAGTTGTTATTACAATATAAATTAGTCTCTGCTGCTGTATTTAAATACATGCAAAGACTGTTGTGATGATACTCAGGTCACTGTCACAATACTGTTCCCATTTGCCAAGTAAGGTTAAATGCATATAATTGAAACTAACCTAATTTAAGTAGTTAGTGTTAGTTCACTACAAAAATCCTGTTTGTGTTATACTGTGTCTGGATTTCTCTCTGGTTGTCTATTGCAGATTCATACAAAGCCCTCATAAACAAGCTGTTTAACTGTTTAATGAAAATCCTGCAATAGAAAAGTAAAGCCAGACAGTGTTGCATAATATTTTCTTTTGTACTTTCACATCAGATGGTCGACTATTTGCCTCATCATTTAGTCACATTAGACTTGCCAGCTTTTCCGACCCGGCCCATTTGTTTGAGTGCCTGTGCAGACAGGAACCAGCTGCTGACCTTTTAAGAGTTTGGAGAGATTTCCTTCTGCCATATTCATGAAACTGCTGAAAAAAAAAACATCTTAATGAACAGTGATTTGATCACATATTGACAAATCAGACTGAGCACGAACAGCTTTAATGGGACACATGGAAAATGTGTCTGTGGTGGTAATTTCTAAAATGAACTGTGTATCATACACAGCCTTGCAGTGCTGTGAAAGGACTTTTATCCAATGGCAAAAATTATACAGTATAAGGGGGTGAAATAATGTAACGGCTGCCAATAAAAATGACTTGTCTGAATGATGACCTGTCCATGCAATCAGTTCTCTTATTGAGGGAACATTTGCACACCCTGGCTGATTCTATTCCTGCTTGTTGAACAGCAATCATTTCAAAAGTGTAAAAAGCACCTGCCAAAACAAATCATAAACCGTGGTAAACAATGTATTCTTAATCCATGACTGGGATGCGGATGATGCTGTTGCAATTTTCTCAGCCGGTTCGATAAATGCCACATACATCATTAGATCCAGAGGGCCACAGAGCTTTCAGCACCTTTTTTTCTAGTCTGGCTGCTCATGACCCATCAAATTCACTGAGGCTTCAGAGTACAAGATGACCTGAAATCAATGGCTGGCTGTGTCAAAAACAGGAAGCCTAGTGCTCAAAATCAAAACCATTTTCTGGTCAGGATTGCGTATAATTTTGAAATTCAATAGTCTCCTAAAAATAAACTGTCAAGCATCACTTACATAGTGTGGTGCTCAAAAAGAAACCAATGATCATATGCTATTTTTACAATTAGTTTCTCTTTCCCCTAACATACTGTGCAATATAATTTCTCCTACAGTTCTATAAATTAGAAATCAACTAAAATTAGAAATAAGAAAACTAAATCTTATTAGCAATCCCCCAAAGAGAATTACAAGCATTTTTTTCATAAACAAGCAAAAACCCAATATAAGAAAAACAGAAAGGAGGAGATTATATTGAACAATAAAATAAAACAGAGAGGTAGGAACCGCAAACACCTGCAAGAATAAGATATTTCTGCTGCAATATTGACCAAGACAGTGACGCATCAATTAACCAGCCTCGGAGAGGCGTCTTGCTTGGAAATGCAGATCACCTCTGCTCATGTTTTCGTGGAGAGAAAGTGCAGCTGTGTAAACCTGCCTCCTCCAAATTTCATTGCCAGCTCTCCTGAGAACCGCTGCTACCTGATGGCTATAGCCACAATTATACACTGTATGATAATTACTTCACAAATCACAGTGAAGAGCAAAAATTTAAAGTGCACAACGACAAGTAGGATAAAAACACAAAGACTGTTATTTAGTTGAACCAGAACAACTAAGAATCCACTTTGCATACAGCACTCAAGCTCAGTCACGCTAAGTCTCATACCACTGAGCAAGCATTTTCATTTTAACACAATTTAAATAAGATATATCTGTCACCACAGAGACATATTATGCAACTTGTTTTTGGTTAATGTCCTGTGTAATCGAGCCCAATAAATAATTATCTCACTATATTGATCCAAGGCACGCTGAAATGGTCAAATTTCTTTAGTTTTATGTGTTCATCGAGCAAGTCAAGCTCCCAAGGTTTTTTACTGCTGTAATTCTGATATAAATCTACATAATCGATATAAATTCAATGAATTACATAGAGCTACTGTATCAGAAGAGGAACATAGCCTCCATATGGTACTCATTAAAGGGAAATCTTCATGATTAGAATTACACCTGCTTATTTCCTCCCATGGAAATTAGCTACATTGAAAGGGTTTTTAGCAATCTTGGTAATCATCACTGATACTAGGGGAGTAGCTGGGAGAAAATGTAACTTTTCAAATCACCACAGCCACAAGGCAGAAAATCTCTGCATTGCTATCTGTGAATTATAATGTGCTTGAAGCCATATTGCAACATAAAATGTCAAAGCAGGTGTAAAAATACCTGATTTAACATCTGTGCTGTAGTCAGAGAAACTCTTGCTCTTGCTACTATTATGATATTCTCCCATGGCAGAGAACTTAAAACCATTTTTTTAAAGTTCAAAGTAATGTTCAAATGTTTATAATTTGGAATGCATGTAATTGGATGTATTTATGTTTTGGTATATTATCCACTGTTGTTCTTTTCCTTGTAAAGTGCTTTTTAATCTCTGGTTTTGATAAGGTCTCCAATTATTATTTTAGAATTGTTTGAGGATTTAATTAAAAACATGACCTCCTTATGGCCTCAATTGTTATATGTTGTACATCAATCTATGAAAGACATGAGTCAAAAAATGTACTTGAGATTTTAAAGACAAAGTATAAAAAAAAAAAAAAAAACACACAATATAGGTAAGGACATAATTTAGATACAGATTGATACTGTAACTCGAATGTGCCAAAGCTGAGAATAATATGCAAAAAACTTATTCAGGACAGCTATATGTTACCCAGTGGAATATGGGCATTTGAGTCCATCACAGGAGAAGAAAAGAGGAGCAGTATGTGTGTAAGTGATTTTCTGCTGTTCTAACACCAAGTAAATTGGTACTCTAACCAGGGCCGTTTCCGTCGTAACACAGACTGCCATGTGTCTGTTTTACTGTACAGCCTCTTACAGAGAGGCCTGTGTTTATGTGAATTCATGTAGGAGTGTGGTTTCCTTTACAATAACAGAGGGCAAGACTGATATAGAGAGTGACAAACGGCGGGTGGTAATGACAAGCTGTCCGATTCTTATGTAGGAGCCTGGTGGAAGAAAAATTTGTGCCTGACAATCAAACCTGTGGCAACAGCTTTGAAAAATGACAGACTGTCATACATAGATGGAGCCTTACCCCGCATGGCTGGAAGATAAGCCCGTCGACTTCGTGGCTGACCTGGGACGTGAAGCTGCCTTCCAGTAGCTGAAAAACATAAAAAAGGAGGACAGTTTCAGTCAAGCAAAACTGATAAACAACAAGATGGAGAGCTGAAGGCTTTAGCTAGGAACACTCGAAATTACATTGATTTATAAAGTCAACTACAGCTTTTGAGTCTGCCAACATTACCCAACCCTCTAAAAGTGAGCAAAATATTGAGTCTCAACATAACTGGAAGGCTTCTGTTTGACAAATCCTGCCGAGTTACAAGCACCGAGATTTCCATCCATCTTGCCCTGAGACTAAGCAATAATCTCTTTGATTGATAATGCATGACTCGGAGATCAATATCTGTAACTTGACAGCGCAGGTTGAGGACAAGAATAGCCACAAATCATTAAGTTCCTGATGAGTGGGAAGGGTTGATTTCATCTCTACCGTTAACACCAAACACCACAGCTGTTACTGAGAGAGGGAACCTACAGCGCCGTATTAGACGTGGATTGCCCAGGAGACGCAGCTGAGACACTATACAATAAAAGCACCTTTTCTACGTAATAAAGCACCTCAGCTACCACGGCAATACAGCAAGGATATTAGAGGCATTAAAATAAAGCTGAATATACTTTATTTATACCAGTCCTTTCTTTTTTGACCCCTCTTTCAAATAACCCCTTCTCTTCCCCTGTCTACGATGGATTCTAAAATGAAACTGTATTCAGTTAGTGGGGGACGTGTATTTGTACTTATTACAACATTGCCAGTTTACAGCAACTAGGTGTAAAATACAATTCACCAAACATTAGCCCAACTGTCACCTCAGCCAAGAAAATATCAATCCTATATGATATTTTAGCCTATATTTGTTTACTTTTTGGCAAATTGCCATCATTAAACATGTGCCAAATTAGCTATTAGCAGTTCTTGTTGGATGTACAGACAACTATTACTGGATTACTTTGATCCTAAAGAAAACTTACAAGGAGCATACTTTGTGCTGTGACTTCTATGTGGATTTAAAGATTTATTTGACTACATTGGACAAAGTGATATCATCAGGAAGTGTTCAGATTTGACTGAACGGAGTACAAATTTTGACTCACTTGTACCTTTCACCTCATGCTACATTTTGGCACAGCAACTGTGTTGGGCCGTGGGTTGGATTTTTTTGGGTTTGTTTTGCAGGTTTCCCACATTGTGAGTTCTCTTGCACTTAATTTTTTTTATAATGGAAAATGGAAGCATCAAGCTCCACCAACTGTGTGAGCAATAACCGACCTTCGATAACATATAGCATAAAGGCTGAAAATTAGAAAAAGGAAGCTCACATTTAATTCCAAACACAAAGCAGAGAAGCAAAATTGTACCAAGTCTAGAAATGTGTGCAGTAAAGTATGAACACTCTCAAGCTTTTGTGTGCTTAGACAAGAATGAGACAATGTGATGATGCCAGCCAAGGTTAGCTGAGTGCTCCATATTCAGTGATATTTGAAAATGGAAGGAACTGAAATGCAAAACCTTCAAATCAAAGTTTTAGAAGTGAACATGAGATATGAGATGAAACTGCAGCGATAACTCAACCATGTAAATAAAAATAAAACTTTGCATGAAGTTTAATTTGATGTTGTGTTCTTTGTGATGGATTACCAATCTGAGTTTATTTCCATACTGCGCAGACTTTAACAGAAACCTGCTGCAGCATAGAAGGTGGGAAATCAATCTAAAAACGTATCATATATCTTGTAAAATGTTCGGCTATAATGTAATACCAAATGCCAAATCTAATATGATGATACAACTACAGTCAGAAGAATCTGTATGCTTTTAAAAGGACAGAGAGTTAACAGAGACTGCAAAATCACTGCTGATCAATAGTCAAATAAAGGCTATGGCTAAAAAAACCGCAATGGGAATGGTGTAACCTAAAGAGTCTTTCAGATCATTATTTTGATTGTTTTGGCAGCGTTGGGTTTTTACAGCTTGTGAAATCAATTAATGTGGGTTGAACAGAATCTTTATGAACATCTTAAATAGAAATGGGAACACCTGTACAATGATAAATCCCCAAAAATATCTTTGACATGCTGTGGAATAATTTGCAGAAAATGAGGATGACTCACGAGCAGCCACAGGAGCTTCATCATTATCTTGTGATGTTATGTCAAAGGAGGTATTTTTTTGCAATCCTTTGTGTGCAAACTTTATAAGTAACCTTTGCTATTCTGTATGTTCATGCAGAGGGTAAATATATTCAGGCAGACAGGAAATGGCCTTGGTCAATAAAATAGAAAGCGAATGCATTAGTGCACTGCAGTGGATATCAGGTATCATATCCAAGCCATCAAGATGCACGTAAACTAAAGCAATGCATTTTAGCCATACAGGAAGGTACTGAAAGGAATAACGGTATAATATGCTTAGAGTGGTCATTTATAAAATGCTGTAAGTTGTCTCCTGTCTGACGACAGACTGATAGACATTAAAATGAAATTATTAAATTTTAATCAACAATGCCTGAATCTCTCCACTGAGCTCTGATATTTCAATCAGCAGGGACGGACATTGTGAGTGCGATAGCGAAGGGTTCAGTAGATATGGAGACTGTCAACAATCATCAGAGCCAAAACACATTCACTATGCAGGAGATGACAGATTGTTGTCATCTGCCCTAGTGCTGCTTGGAGACAAACCAAAGTATAACCTCAATCACAAATACAAGAAAGTGTGTAATATAACATAACTACAAGGCGGGTAAAACCATTTTATACACAGCAGCACAGCAGGTTGTAAAGGGCAGACTCTCTCCTATGAAAGATGTCTTTGACCCATGAATTTGTTCAGTATTAGACCAAATTGGTCTGTCCCTGATGGTCAGTGGATAGCGATCCATAATGACACATTTAGTCTCAAAAAATATCTTTGAAGTGAGCAGATACCACTGTATAATACATCAGATACCATTTGCTGCATTTTCCAATATAGGTATGAGAAAATGTTTTGTCTAGCGCTATTTTCTCTCTTGTAGGGCGGAAGCTTGAGTGACAAGTGACATGCTGCATGTATGTCATGATTTATCTGATAGGTCTGTTTACATTGCATTTTTCAAATTGGAAAAAGCACATAAATACAGGTGGACAGGAACGCACTTTGTGTAATCGTGAATTTTTTTCTCACTTCTTGCACAGATGTTCTGCTCTCACTTTGGCTCTCTATAGCAAAAAGAAGCTGTAATAGCTTTGGTGACACCATTGCCAAGTCAGACCACAGTTCAATAGCTGCAGAGGATTTAGTAGAGAAAAATACCTTGTGTCTGTTATATGTAGACCACTGGATGATTTCACAATTCCACAAAATACTTTGATGCAAAACATCCCTATTTCTCAAAAGATGTATTTCAGGGAAATAAGTGAAGTCATCAGCGCTTAGAGGAGTGCTGCATACATTTATCTAAAGCGACAAAAAAGTGTTCAGTCTCTGCTGTATCTGCAAAGAAAGCAGAGCAACATCAGTGCTCTCCAGAATGATGAATGAGTCACAGCAGATCACACAACACTTGACAATCATGCTGACATGGAGAAGGCAGATAGCCAGACTTAAAAGAACTGGTGCTTTTATGAGGGAACGGCATGTAGGCGGTAAGATCTGGGAGTTCCATTTCAGTTCTCTTGCCATCTTAGCACACCCACCCACCACCTCCGTCGAGCACAGTGAACCTTGGATGGAGCGATGAGCAGAAAGAAGACTTCCACTCACACATCCTCCTACAGTAAGGAAGTTCCTTGGAGCGTTAACGCAGAGAAGGGGCAGCGACCCTGCTTTCATGGTAAACCTTTTCAGAAAGGAAACACAAAGTTGTGCCCGGTACAGTAGAGTTGTGTAGGCAGTGGTGAACAGCACAGCCCCATTAAGAGATCAAGCTTTCAATGCAGACCTCCAGGGCAGAGACAGGACAACGGAAGTGCTTGGGGAGACATGCAAAGCAAAGTCTTTCCCAGAGAGAGTGAATGTCAGCATGATCAAAGTCAGACTGTTTTCCTCTCCAGCGTTTTATGTTTGGGCTCATTTCACAAAAGGACATAATGATGAATGATATCTAGCCTGGTGTTCGCACCAAAGTATGCAGTTCATATTCACTCTTATGTATGTAGTTTTATTAGCCAAACTGACAGAAAAGTCACTTACCATCAATTAAAGTCTCTTAATCTTATCTCAATGAATAATAGATCATAAACAGTAAAATGAAGATATGCAAGTAAAATGTCATAAAAGAAACATTTAATAAAACCACACACTCACCCAACGTTCAGAGTAGTTGAGTAATGCCACTCATGGTTTATGACAAACACTTAAAGCACCTTTCATTCAAAAATAACTAACCGTCAACCTTTTGTTGATCCAGCAACAAAGCAAAAGTGGTAACAAGCACACAGTTTAGGAAATTAGTCATATCTAGGGCTGCATCTAATGAGTATTTTCGTTTGGTCTGTAACATTTCAAAACCATTTCCTAAAAACTACCACCATCATTTTCCAGACCTCTTCAAATGTCTTGCTTTGTCGGACCAACACAACAGATATTCAGTTTAAACCGCTTATAAACAGATTATAACTGCCAAGTTTCACATCTACAGAGCTAGAACCAGAGAATATTTTGCACCTTTACTCGAAAAATTAAACAATTTTATTATTGAAAATGTTTGCGAAACATGTCACAGTGAAAACATGTCAGTGAAACATTGACAAATATATGAGCATCGGAAATGTATTAAGGCCTACAGGCGATTGCTTGGACAGATTTTTGCGGACCTTGTTTTCTAAAGTCAGTTTGTCTTTCAAGGCTATCTACTGGATTTCTGTTTCTAGAGATTAATAGAAAATTTCAAACTGTGTTTTTATGTTTTACAGCAACGAAGCGTCCCAGGTGGGCAAATTATACTTTTGACCTTGAGTTTGAATGACCATTTATGGTGTCGTTAAGAATAACAAATTGTATGGGCTGGACTTCAATTGCTCAACTGGAATACAAAATAAGCAGAAACGAGTGGA